TGATCAGAGAGTGCACCAACAACCTGAGAGAACTCGCTAGGGGCAATGATGTTACCCTATGGTGGGTTCCAGGTCACAGCAACATTGAGGGCAATGAGAAGGCCGACAAGCTGGCCAAAGAGGCAGCAAACACGCCCTTCATTGGACCCCAACCTGGATGTGGACTACAAAAAAGCCACCTAAAACAAATAATCAACAACTGGGAGGCTTCAAAGATAGCCTTACGCTGGAAAGAACTTCCAGGTCACAGACAAGCGAAGAGTATGATAACTCCGTCGCAAAACAAAACCAAAGAGGTTTTATGCCTCAGCAAAGGGGATCTAAGAACGCTCTCAGGCTACCTAACCGGCCATGTGCCCCTAAAACACCACCTCTTCCACATTGGACAAGCTGAGGATCAAACTTGTCGACTATGCAACGGCGAGTCAGAAACTGCTGAACATATACTGTGCAATTGCTTCGCCAGAGGCCGTCTAAGGCACAACGTCTTCGGTAAAACTCCCCTGTTACCTACCGACATAAAGGTCCAAGACCTCAGGACAATACTAAGGTTCATTAAGGACCTACATTTGCCCTAAACCTTTGGAGGGCTAAAGTTACAATAGATCTTATAGGTCGCGGTAACGAGAGGGGCCGCTCTCCTCAACCCGGCAGCAATAATAATAATAATACAGTAATCAGTTTGAAAATGCTGAAGACTCTATTTACAAGAGACTAAGAAGGATACCAGAACCTCAGTGGTACCAAGTTGTGAAAGTGAATACTACAATCATAAAGGTGCAAACAGTGTTGTTTTGATGACTGTTGTGACCTTGAAATAAAATTCTTCTCGATAGATATTGCTTCATTGCTGATCATGCATGATTTCGGCGAATTTAGGCATTGAATGGTGATTTAGTCGTTATTTCTTTATGGCGAAAATTAATTAACATATAAAGTTTGTATAATTTATGTAAATAAATAAAACGCATTTTGTGTAAACATTTGGGTTGATGAAGGTTATGTCACTCACATTTTTTCCGTTCTCATTTCGCTCGTATCCATTTGAATTGACGCCTGTTTTCTCTCTTGGCTTTAATGTTCAAAAAGTAACAGTGTTATTCTTTAAATTTCTAAATTACACGAAATTTGTTACACTCTTTAAAAATTTGTGTTTCTAAATATTCATTAGATTCAAAAATTGATATGCATCGCTAAAACCTTAACGTTTGCTCAAAAGTTTTCCTGTTTTTTCTTAATTAACGCCTTAATGGTTTATGCTTTTGTGTAATAATTAACACGTCCAATTGGTCGTTATTTTTTTCTGTGAAATAGAAAATATTTTTCTTCAAACAGCGTTAACAACTCAATTATTAATAATATTTTTTTAAGTTAATTATTTTTAGTGGGAAAATTTTTTGATGATAACATTTCTTATCGAAACTTTCCTTACTTTCTTTTTCATGGTAACCAAAGGACCATTCCAGCTTTGATTGCCGGTTAGATTCTCCTTTCTATCCTTTCCTTATAATATTTGTTACACAAAAAAAAGTAATAACTAATATCGACACTTATTACTTCTCAATCAGAAAAGAAGCATTTAAAATTTCTTTTTCAAAGACACTTTCTATAAAATGTTTAATGTGAAGAGTAATAAAAACGGTTTTTGTTTACGATTAATCAACTTTAATTTACTTACAAGAATTTTTTTGGTTCGTTTTCTTCACCGTTGTTGAGCTTATTTCGGTGAAAGGAGATCGTACTGGAAACGTGATACGCGGAAGAAGAAAGCCACGTTAATTTCACCTTTTACGAACGATTTGACGAAGAGCGTTTTCGGTCTCACTGACGAACGATAATTTACTTCTTTGACGCGTTGTAACAGTAATTGCTTATAAGATATTAAGTAATAGATTTTGGTTAGATAGTTGAGAAAGATTTGAAAGTTTAAATTCTTGAAGTAATCATTAAAACATATTTTTTTTTTTAGTTGAGAACGAATCGAGATGTTACGACGAATTGGGTTGTTTAAATATCACCAGAAGTTGGTATCACCTCATTATAAGACCTTTCAATGTTTTTCCTTTGCCAAGAGAAGTCATCAATACCGGTTTTATACTCTACACACGTCTCAATCCGAATGATGTAAGTTTGAAGATTTCTTTTGCAAATAGATTACTCAACAAATAGAAAAACACAATAATGGTTAGTTTTATTGTTATGCAAATTTATAATATAGTGTAATCGCGAATGATACGCGAATATAATCGCAATAATAGTGAAAAAAGTGTCAAAATCGATATAGTGTGTGGGAATCCTTCATCGAGTCCAATAAATTCTTCCAGTTCTATCTAGAACTAGAAATATTCAGATTTAGCCGAGCGTCTTTAGATGGCTAAATCGGAATTTTACAAGTACTAGGTCTAATTTAGGTCTAGTGTTAGTAGAACTAACACTATACCTTTTCAAGCACAAATTGGCACTAATCAGAATCAAAATGACATTAGTCAAAATCATATTGGCAATGTCAATTTCAAATTGGCATTAGTCAAAATCAAATTGACAATAATCAAAATTAAAATGGCATTAGTCAGTATCAAATTGGCAATAAACAATATCATATTGGCATTAATCAACAAATTTAGCACTAATCAAAAGCAAATCGGCATTATACAAAATCAAAATGACATTAGTCCATATCATATTGGCACCAAACAATATCAAGATGGCATGAAAATTAACTGTTTAAATCGGTGTCAAACAATTGTTAACTTATCGGTTATTGTCAAGTTTATGGTAATTTATTGCGAGATTTCAACTATTATATTCACACGAGATGCCTTATTCAAAGAAAAATGCTGCTGCAAATCTGAGGACACAGATTTGCGCTTTGTATAATGCCAATGGTGACTGACGTAATCTTGCAAACGTACTACAGGTGCCAAAAGGAACCGCGTATCGATGGGTTAACAACCAAGAACAACCGGAAAAGCAGCGAGGAGGTAAACGTAGAGCTAAAATAACTGATGAGCACCGTCAATTCATGGAACGTTCAGTCGAAGAAAATCCTAAAATTACTTTTAAAGGACTGAGTGAAAAAATCCTGAGTGAAGATTTTGCACTCAATGTCTCCAACGAATGCGTTCGACAGCATCTCAATGGATTGATGTTTACTTTGAAGACTGCTCGTAGAGAACCAGAGAACGCGAATAGTATTCAAACGAAAACAAGCAGGAGTATTTATGTAGAAAATTTATTGGATCTTCAAGCACAAAATATACCTATCATATACATGGACGAGACAAACTTTAATTTGTTCATATCGCGGACTCAGGGTCGTTCAAAAAAAGGGACTCGCTGCACAACAGTGTCTGCAGGTTGCAGAGGGTCGAATATTCACCTAATAGGATGCATTGGAAACATGGGGCTAATTCATTCCGAACTACGTCGGGGCTCTTTCAAGAAGCCGGAAGCAAATGAATTTGTGAGGCAATGCCTAAGAAGAGCGCAAGGCCTTTACCAAACTGGAGTTGCATTAGTTATTGATAATGCTCCATGCCACTCTACTATTGAAGAGGTTTTTGCAGAAAACGAATTTGAACACCACACACTTTTACGACTAAGTCCGTACA